ATATAACTAATCAAGCATGTCAATACTTTAGGTGCATCCTCACTGTACAAAAGGACAAAATTAAAAGCATGTGCCACTTGTTAGTGGTAGAGAAGATTAGGTTATTATAGGTATAGAATTAGTGATTATTTTGTACACAGCAATATTCAGCATAAAGTGAGCCAAAAATTTGTTATTTTGAATCAACATAATGTTAATTTGACACTTATATTCATAGTTTGTTGTATTAATTGATTTAACTAATCAAACTTGAATTAATCAAAAATAATAATAAGAAATCACGAGAGAAATATTTCAAATATTTGAATATTTAAAATAAGTGAAAACACCGATTTTGATTATTTTGGTGACATTAATAGATTTAATCATTATTTTGACTTATCAATAGTTTTACATGACACTGGCTAATGAAATCAATGCTTACAAGTGGTTGATTATATTGAGTTAATTCCCTATTAGTTCTAATACTGTTGTTGTGCCCATCTACCTTGAAAATACTCAGCATGGGGTTATTAGTTTTGTAGATTGGTAAAAGTATTTTTTTATAGAAAATCAATTTTAATTGCAATACCTATACATTTTTTGGAAAGATGTATATAAATCATGCTTTGATGATATTACAGTTAGATAATTTTTAATGATAATTATTACAATTATACTTTTAAGTGTGCATGTATATTATCAATAACAATTTTCAATTTAGTAATTAATAGTTATGTGTATCCTATTTTGAAAGAGGCCTTACTTGCCTTGCATAACCAGCTTTTAGTTTCAAAATCCCATATTAGAATATTGCATTATCCTCATAAATGTGGCAAGTGTCATAACTCTAGTTTAATTTTACTTCATGTGATTATGTTAAAAGTACAAACATTGTACCAATGGTTTCTATTTTCAATTGAAATCAGTATTTTAGTTGTTCTTGTATTCTTTTCATGAACATTCTGCATATTTTAGTCTTGATTTTATTACTATTTCTGTACCTGTACTGGCTTTATTTTAGAGTTAAGAATTTTTTATCTCCCAGCTTTCAAGTGATTTTGATGTGCATATTGTAACTGTTTTTCTGTGGTGCTTGTTGTTTACTCACTAAATTTTGCTTCTTATGCTAGAGAAGCATATGGAGTTGTTGCCCGATTATTTAACTTTTTACCTCTCCTTAACTCAAATATACTGGTTGATTATCATCAGTAAGGATAATAACATAAAAAGTTAATATTATTTTGTGAACTTCATGGTTAAACTCATTTTTATCAACTGAAACTCACAAAATTTTGCATTTCTTGAAATATGGTAGTAATTATTTCCCAAATTCTTTTTTTTACAGTTAGCAGAATACGAAAGATTAACTAAAGATGTGAATAGGTCAGCATATACTCGCCGAATTATTGAAATTCTAGCCAACATCAAAAAGCAGAGAGAAGAAATTGATAAGGTGATTTCAAATTTATTTTATATTTTTATAGTATTCACCTTAACAGTATATAACTTAAAAAATTACCATTAAATAATTATCCAGAATTTTCAAAATAAAGGACAGCTTTCATTAATCATTGTATTTTAAGATTTCAGTGTTAGATTAATTTAAATGTAAATGAAATCTGTAATTGAAAAAATTACATAAACTTCTGTTCTTTTGAGCAAATATATTCAGACCCAATTATGCCTGTACGCTTACCCAGTTAATATCATTTTGAAAATTTGCTATTTTGATAATATTTTAATTTTGGTAACAAATTATATATTGACATATGCTATTTAATGACAACAAGAATTTAAAAAAATTATAAAAGTTGCCATGTATTAATATATTTGTATTCTTGAGCAGAACTTGACTGCACTGATGTACTTGTTATTATGGAAAAAAATTAAAAATTTAACCATTTCATGTAAGAATAAGTGTATTTGAATACTTTTAATGAACCTTTTAGTTACTAACATGATTCTAGACTGGTATGGTTGAGTGAATTATTGTTAAGACTGGGTTGAACATAGCATAATATATTAGCATGTAAGGCTGCAGTTTTAAGGGTACAGGGTTTGTGATTTGATATCCTGAACTTCCTTTGAATGGTGGGTGTATTATGAATAGGACAGTCAATCCCATTATTCTGTTCAGAGAATCAAACAAATCATTTGTGGTGACAGCTGCCTTTCCTCTGGTCAGTAGCTTAAATTTAGGAATTTCTACATCTGCATCTTGAGGGGGGGGGTTCTGCCCTGTCCATTTAACCTATATAGGCATGAGGTTCCATTCATATTGAAAATTGCTACAGTCAAGATATCTGTTTTCTTTTATAAATGGGCTTAAAAATATCTCAAAATAGAATATGAATAAATTTAAAAACAATTAGTCCATCCTAAACAATTTTGGAAAAGAAATGTACTTAAGATAATTCTTCAGTGAAGTCAAAACACTAGAAAAGTTAGCGAGTTGTTCAACAGAGATAAGAAAGAAAATGTTTTGGAAAAATAGCATCTGTAAATATATAGAATCAGAAAGTACAGCATAATAGTACTTGTAAGTTTGTTGTTTTGAGATCAGTTATGAAATTCAAAGGTTTCAAATTAAGTCTAGATAAGAAACAATATGAAAATATTCACAATTTGTAAACATGTGGTACTTATAGTTTCTTTATATGCAGTTTACTTCTGCCAGAAAGTTTTGAATATTTATAAACTAATCTGATCATTCATAATCGAGTCTCCATTAGTTTCAAAAGTTTACGTATAAGAATCACACTATTATATGGAAAACTAAAGCCAATGGCTAACAAGTTCAATGCTTTTTTTTCATATGTTTGCTGATTCTCTTATTTGGCTAATCATTTTTTAGAATACAACTGTATCACTTTAAGTTCATAACTGGCAGGTTTGGTTCCACACGTAACTCAATATTATAGTTCAGTTTTTAATGGTAGTTTACAACATTTAACTATATTATGTGCTTTTATATTTTGTAATTTCTCAATCCACAAAAAACTGTGAACCTCAAAATAGTATACAGACATTAAACCTTTTATTAAATCACACACATTCCTAACAAAATTCATTTGTTTGTATTTAATTTGCTCAAATGTCACCTAGTCTAGCCTAAACAGAGTTAGAAATAAGTCATTTATTTACACAACATTTACCTGCAAATAATTTAGTAACAATATATCAAAAAAGCTAAATATGAAAATAAGGAGATAGGAATAATATTGATATCTTTTGATTTAATAGCCTACAATCTAAGTTGACACCTTATTATATTCTTCTTTACTTTCCCTTATAAATATTTTCAAGTAAGAACTGATTTCTCTACAAGTAGCAGATAGATGGATCTGCTAATAACTACAGATTTGTTTAGGAAATAAGGAAAGTGATTCTGATTTGAATAACTTAACTGAATCCTCCTAGTGTGTGTGTGTGTGTGAGAGAGAGAGAGAGTGAAATAATGAGACTGGACAAAGATGGTAAAAATGAAAACAATCTTTATTATTCAACAGATTTTAAAAAAAAAGGGTATACATACTTACATGTGCAAAAAGACAGTTGCTTATACTAGGCCGGTCATTATTCCCGTGGCTTTCTTTCTCTTAGAATTAACCTCTATAGAACTAAACACAATGATATTGATATAAGACTATTCAACAATCTCCTATTAGAATTGCCTCAAGAAAGTGTCTAAATTTAACAGGTAAACTTGTTTTCTTTGTCCAGTTGACAGTGTCACTTCATGACCTTTATTTTCTCACAGCATTGGTTGGCTGTACCATTTAGACAATGTCAGCTTGGTGAGCAAAGGATATTACAGTGTTAATCCTGAATGATACGTGCTACTGCAGCATCCTCATGGGCTGAATAGACATTATCTGCTATATAAAACAATGAAACAAAGCAACTAGAATAAGGCAATCTCTGTGACTTTGCAGACTGTGTGTTGCTGCCATTACAACATATCACTAAAGCAGGTGTAAAACATATGATATGTCTGCATATCACAGTAGTATACATTTTTATTTAATACTGACTTGTTTGTTTTAAACTTATTGTTTAAAAAAAGTATATTCTTCTAAGTGAGAACAGAATTAATGAAGGAACAGTTGTCTCGGAAAAGAAATGAAACATCTTTTGTCTTACAATCTTGCATGTAAAAAAATGCAGGTTCATATTCTTATTCATACAGTTTATGACTAATGAAAACATTTGGCTTCATTATAATATAGCATAATACTTGAACTTCATTTTATGTTGCCAAATTTTTAAAATAATTATTATGATATGTTTAACAGAGTTTAGAACTAAGAAAATATGCACTGGTGATTCTGTTATAGTTTTTGTTGTGTTTAAGTGAGTATTAAAAATTTCCAGGTTTTGATTGACACCAAGGCCATTCAGAAAGAAATTAACCAACTTTCTGGTAAACTAGATCGAACCTTCACAGTTACTGATGAATTAATCTTCAGAGTAAGTTCTGAGATAAGATTATTTTGTTTGTGCTGTAGTGTACAAGTCTTTTCTTTTTTATTGTTTTATACTGCTGTTTTTTAATTTTCATTTAAATTACAAAACATATGCTTCTAGTTTTGCATAAGCTTTGTGGTTTTCACAAGAATGATTCTACTTTTAAACTTTTTTTAGGAAAAATAGGAAAATACTATGTTTTTAATTTTGAGTTTATGAAAGAACTTAAGCATTATATAGAATGTTACATAGCATATTTAGTAACCTGTAAGTACCATTTTCTTCCAGAGTAGAATATTTTTATTGCTAGTTTTAAACAATAGTTTAGTTTATCTCCTTGTATTTTTAATGCAAAATTTCAACATGGATTTTAAAAATGTGAATTTGTTGTGAGTGTATTTTTAATGCAAAATTTCAACATGGATTTTAAAAATGTGAATTTGTTCTGAGTACAAGTGTTTGGACAATAAATCTGACCAGTACATTGAATGTTATTTCTCATTTTCAGTAAACTATTAGAATTTTGGCATTTTGTTATAAAATTAAACAATTATTTAAATTTTCCACAGTTTTGGAGTAAATTCCTTGGTTTCTACATTGGGTTAGGATTTTTGTGCTAAGACCACTAAATAACTGTTGAGCCATGTGTAATTTTACTTTGGGGAAACTAGTAACACACCTTTTAAGCTTTCAATTTTTGAAACTTTTAACAATCCTAAATCTGTAATCATGAATATAAACTATCTAATGATCTTGGGCTACATAAAGCTTTTGAGATATGGTCAAATCTTTAAAATTATTACACTTTAATGATTTTAAAAAGTAAAATTTTTTGTCAAACGATATATATCAATACATGTTTACATATCTGTATACAACTGCTCTGTTCTTTGAAAAACAAATAGGAGGTGACATTTTTTGTAAAGCCAGCAGTAATCCTAAGTGAGAAATGACTTACCAAATTCGAAATAAATTGCCAAAACTTACACAAATGTGTCAGTAGATCCTGTATTTTCCAGAATTAATTTATGAAGATTTATTTTCTCTCTAATTCTATGAATAGCAATAGATAGACAATAGCCTGTTTCTTTATTAACATGTGGTCTCTGTTACAGGATGCAAAAAAAGATGAAGCTGTTAGAAAAGCATACAAGTATCTTGCAGCACTTCATGAGGTATGATGTTTTTTATTTGGTTTACCTTTACCAGTGCTATGGTTATTGTAGCAGAGTTGTCTGTTTGATGTCACAAGTTTGAGTTTGGCTGCCTTTTCAATTTAATGCTGTGAATGTGGGCTCAAATGAGAAAGGAGTTTGATAGCAAAATATGTGTAGCCAACAATAAATGGTACTAATTAATATAGCACAGGTGCCTGGTTTGTGTGCTATGGCTCATGTTAGTGAAAGGTGGTATTCTCTGCCCCCGTTTATAAGCCTTTGTTAGTAGACGTATAGATAAAAAATAGACAATGTGCATACATATTATAATGGACAATGCTAACATTTTAGTTGCAGACAGTTATGTTTTCTTTGCTACTGCTCTACATGTTTGTTTGTTTTTACCGAAGTTTGAATTTATAGCAAATATGTATATATGGCAGAAACACAAAAATGCTAAGATACACTAGAAAATCTTTAATTCTATTGAGACTGTTAAGTGTAGATTTGAAATATATCGTTTGAAGTAATATTTTTTAATTTCTGTAATCATGTATTAATTGAATTGTATCAGTTCTTGAGCTCTTTCATGTATAAGGTTCTTCTAATTATTCATGTATTAAAAGATATTTGTTAATATCTAAACTGTTAAAATGGTATGATTGTATGTATATTACTATGGATAATATGTTAGAAAAAATATAATACACTGCTGGAATGTGCAGTAAGTTTCTTGGGAGGTACTTGTATTCAAAATATGTATATAGCATTGTAATTCATGAAAAATACTACCACATAAAAACAAACATTTGGCTTTGTATCTTAATGTGAATATTTTTAATAGTTGGAGATTTAGATAATTTATGTTTGTAAAGTTGGCAGTGACTTTACAGAGAATCAATTAATATATTCAATAAGATTAAAGTTCTATATTTTTATACTATTTTGACCAAGGTTAAAAGCTGTTATATTTGAGCCTAATGTGAACTTAATAAACTAGGAATGGTTCTGAAGAAGATTTTTTTTTTGTAACTGTCTTTGAAAAACTGTAAATTTGAAATGGTAGTTTATTCTAAAATGGGGCCAGGCATAGCTGTGTGGTTCATGTGCCCAAATTGTTAATCTTAGTATTCATGGTTTGCATCTTGTTGCTACAAAAATAGCACTGGTTAGCTTGAGGTTATGGGTGCACTATAAGAGTGATGGTGAAATCCCACTATTTGGTCAGAGAAAAATAACCCAAGAATTGATGATTGGCACTGTTGACTAGCTACCCTCTAGTCTATCAGCTCAATATTAGTGACAGCTTTGCACAGATAGTCCTTTGTGTGGCTTAAACAACATGTACAAAAATTAGATCACCAATGTGTTTAACTTAAGAAATGGGATTTCTATGGTGATAATTGTTTTAAATTAGCAATACAATATAGTAATCTTATTTTAACAACTGTTTTGGATTTGTTTCTTTCATGTAGAACTGTAGCTCACTAATTCAAACGGTGGAAGAAACTGGCACTATTATTCGAGAAATCAGAGATCTAGAAGATCAGGTATGTGTTATTTCAAGCATCCTGGTCTTTTATATGTATTAGTTGAAACTTGACTTCCATCCTGTTATTACTAATGCCTTCTGTTCTATATTACCATGCTTTCTTTCTTCTTGAGGTCAATAAAGCCTTTTGACAATTTGTTTTTTCAAAAGCTTGTAACTTTATAGTGAATTATATGAATCATTACAGTACATATCAAAAGTATGCTCAAGTCAAACCATTTTTATTATGCAGTTATTCTCTAATAATGTTTACAGTTACTATATAATATTGTAGAAACTACCATTTTTTTCATTTATATGTGACAACTGTTGCTGTTTCTTTCATGAAATATAGCTCTAATATTGTTTTTATTCGTTGCTTATTTTCTTTCAGTATTACAGGAGTATACACACATAAATATAATGGTGTTAAGCTAAAAGTATTGAACAGAAAAACCTAAATTATTTTAGTTAATTAAAAAGCACATCTTGTATAAACACTTGTATTTAACAGAACTAGGGAACAAGAGTACTGTAATACTTGTTTCTTGTTTTAATCTTTCATTTACTTAATCACATCTGTATAAAATAAATTAAAATATTCATTACTACACATGTAGATTTTTTTGAGACACTAAATGCCACAAAAACTCATCACTAATTTGAATCCTTGTAATTTTATAGCATTCCTTCCATATAATGTAAGAAAAGTATAAGGTCCAAACAAAACTGATTTTATGCACTGACAATTAACCCCACCAACATTTTGTACCTTTTGTCTTCTTCGAGCAATAATAAGAGCTTTACAAACATTTTTGTTATTTTACCAATAAAAGCATGATAAATAATAACACAGTTACATGATTTTTAAATTTATAAGATACATCAATGTTGAAACTACCACCTGGAGTTTGAAGGAACAAAAGAAAAACAACTAACATCTCCAGAAACTAATGATTTCGAGCATACAACTTTGACTTTAGCTATATATTTGATGTCTTACAAATAAAGTGAACCCATGCTAGTGACAAAGGTATTTGTGTATGTTCCATTGGTATTTTGATAAAAATGCCAATGTGCATGATAAAATTCTGAAATTTAAGTTCATGCTGAATTTAAACTTTATTTTCAAGATTCTTTACTACCATCAACTTACAATGCTGAAGCTAATTTTTCAAAGATACATGATTTCAGGTTATTATAGTTGATAATTGTACAATTTATTGTACTAATTAAAACTGCTTTATTTATTTATTTCTACAAAGAATACAATTGTTACATGTTTATTTGACTGATTTGTAGACATCATTTAAAAGTTTCACCAAACTCAGGAAACCATCATGAAATTTATAATACTCTATTAAAAATCCACAATTGTCCAGTTTTTGGTATTGTAAGAATATAATTATCATTGAATAGAAATAGGCTATCCATCTGGTTTTTGTTCTCATATAAAATTTCTTTGTATATTATCTTCTAGAGGTTAAAGTTAGTGAATTAATGTGTACTGTAAATCTTAACAGATAAAGGTTTCATTAATGAATTTTAGCCAGTTTCCTTCATACAACAGTATATTTTATTTACAAGATGCCTACCTGAGAAATTGTTACTCTTGCATGTGATAAAATTGTATTTCCATTCATAGCTGATGAACACTTAAATGTGTTCAATATTAAATGAACAACTTTGGCAAATGCTAGAAAAACATATTAAAATTCACCCACTGTTCCTAAATAAAGCCAAGTTGGTTTCAAGTGTAGAAGTGTTTTCCCCCTTTTGCAGTCAGCTTGTAGGCAAGTTGCGCTTTTGTAAATAGATTTCTAGCTTATCACTTGCCATGATATTTACATTGTTTTAAATTGAAATTCAACGATGTGTCAGTTATGTAAGATTTTTATATTTATGTATTAAGGAAAATTTAGCATTTGGATGACTCTTAAATCAACCTTTTTGAAGTCGTTTGCTAATTCTTTTATAAAGAATAATCTAGCAACTATACTGTTTGGTGGCTTAAGTGTAAGGTAAGATTGTAGTTAAGTAATTTAGAAATATAAATAATTATGAAGTGTATAAGAAACCAACTTGTTAATTAAAATTTAGTTTTTTCATATGAAATTATTTTCTGTTTTAAAAATAAAACCAATTCTTGCTGTATTTTCTTTATAGATTGAACAAGAAAGTCAGAAGAAAGTTGCTGACAATTTGGAACGTATTACAGCAGATTATAAACAGATGAAGCAGGAGAATTCCTCTCTTATGACTCAGCTAAAAGCTTAACTTTATAATAAATAATGTGAACATCATTTTACTTGTAACTGTCAGTGGATTACTAAATACTACTAATTGTTTATTGGAAGAAGTAAAAGTGTTAATTATTTTCAATTTTTTGTTGTCTTAATTAAAATTCATTTAATAATGACAAAGATGCTAAAGAAAATTTCTTATATTGGAGGTACAAATGTGTTTATAGTTATTGTAAGAGATATGACCTTTTTTATTTTATATTGCTATAAAAATGATTCATAATCAATTAACATAAAACTATTGTGGGAATTAGAAATTCCCTCGTATTTACATTAAAAGTACTACTTGCTAAAGTAGCATTGCAGACTTATGTCATAAGGACCTCTGTAAAAGTAGAGATATAGTGTTGATTATAATCATGTTCCATTACTAAAGTTAATTCTAAATATTGACCAAACATTGTAAGCCTTGACCATAAAGACCTATTAAATTAAAATCATAAATATGTGTGCACAATGTGATGTTCTATGCAGTTATTTATCATTAGTGTGTGTGTGTGTATGGAGCCTAAAGATGATCACTTTGATTTAACATTCAATGTTGTATTTTATTAGAATTTTGTTATGGTCAGTATATGCATTTTTGTTTTCTTTTTGAAGTACCTTAACAGTATTAACAGTGAAACAGTTAAGAGTGGCATCAGTGAATTAATAATTTGAAGATTAATTGATGACATTTACTGATATTTAACGATGCTGTATAATACGTTAAAATGTAATAATTTTCACTTAATTTCTTTTTGGTCATATATGTGATTAGTTATTCTTCCAAATTATATCTGATCATTCTAACTTCAAAATAAAATTATAAAGTATTTAATTTTCACTATGAATTAGCAATAGATCCTGTATAAGCTGTTTTTCATTATTTTCAAAGCAGAATTCTTAATCTCTTTCAAGTGGTGATCCCTCTACAATTTATTAAAAAGAACAAACATCTTGAAAGAGAATGATCCAACTTAATTGTGATGTGATTTTATATTCAGAGAGAGAAAATAAATTTGGAACACTGTTTTTCTGGTCATACTAATATGTGAATTTACCATATTGGTCTGTCTAACCTTGTATTCTAAGATAAACATTAAAATGAACTTGTATGAGGCTTTTGTGTTTATTCTTCTATTTTTATTATTCAGTTATTTACAAGTTTCACAACAACAAGACTCTTGAGTGCAAATAACTGCTTGCAAGTGTATGATATGAATGAAATATTAACATTAAACAAACTTTCAACTATTCATCTAATACAGTACTTCTTAATTTTGTTCTTTACTTATTTGTGAGATGTGCAAGTTTTTTTTAACAATAATTAAAAAATACAGTTTTGGGAAATATTATAATGAAGTATTTAAAAACTGCACTGAGTAGTGGTTTAAAGTTCACAAGTAAAGGTTTCACGTAACTTAAATTCTGTATTTACTTAAGTATATCACCAAACCAGGAAAATAGAATGTATTTGTAGTATGGTCTTAAGTAACAGTTTTTAAACTTACCCTCCCTTTAGTCCATCACTTCAAAATTAAGGAATGACTAAGGTGGATATACCTCAAGTTGCTTTGTGCAAAAATCAACCAACAGCAACAACCCTTATTTCAAAAGCCAAATTACTGAAGGTTAGCTTCAAATTTATAATGTTTCCTCGTGTCCTTTTTTACAATAGTTTGAAGGTTCTTTTTTTTTTCCTCGGATTACAATGTTATGTAGTCCTATTGATAATTAAATTTATTTATTATCTTCTGAAAATTCATGAAATATAATAATTAGATTACTGAAATAAAATCTTTAAGTTGATCATATGCTTTATTAGGTACCATATAATATAACTAATTCTAGTTTGTTTTTTTGGGGGGAGAGAGTGCAATTGTACCACAGTTGTTTACTACATTATCAAAGTAAATATGAGAAAAAAATAACATAATAAATTAAAGCAGGATGTATTAGTAATCGTAGGAGTCACAACGGATGTGTTGAGAGTCTGAGCAAGATTTATTTTTCATTATCTTCTGGTCTGAATTTACTTGCATATATAAAATTTATGTATATTTTTGATACATTACACTTTGCTAGAAACGTAAAACCTTAAAAGACTGGTACCCAACATTCAAGAGCAAAATCTTGAGATTCGCATCCAGCATAGAAACC